GTCTTCAAAGAGCAAAAAGCCCTCACCAGAGGCCCCGCCCACTTCACGCAGTGAGGTGATGGTGAAGTTTGGAAAACCTGTCCTCCAAGTGCCGTTTAAGCGCATCAAAGTCTTTGTGCTGTTGTTCGTGTTGCTGTTCCTGCTGGTGCTGATCCTCTCCTTCAACCTGCTGTTCACCGCAGTGAAGATCCGAAGCCACCTGGGCTCGTTCATCAACATGATCTCCAGTGGAGATGGCGAAGTTTTGCCCAGTCTTTTGGCCTTGCCGGTGTTCCTCTTCCTGTGCCTCGACTGCGCCATATTCTTCTTCATCTACAAGATCTTCTCGAAGAAGAAGAGCCCTGGAGTGAATCGGCTGCTGTTCCTGCTCATCCTAGTTGCCGCTGTCTTGGTACTCCATCAAAGCTAGATTTTCAATCGAATTGTAGCTGTTCTTGGACATTCCAGATGGTGATCACATTGATAATCGTCTTTGTGACGTTGGGGCACGTTTTCGGATCGAGCAAGAGCATAGAAGATGGCATCATCAACGCAATGGCAAAATACGAACTGAATTCGCTATACAAGAAGCTGATTGATCGGCTGCAGATCGAGTTCCAGTGTTGCGGCAGCAACAAGTACGATGACTGGTACAACATCACGTGGCTGGAAAAGTCCACGTCCACCAAGTAGGGAGGGTGAGGAGGCCAATGGGCACCAAACTAAAAAGCTGGCGCTTTCAGCTCCAGCACCAGCCAGAGCGGAAAAACCCCATTCAGTTGCTGTGCCATCAAAACCAAATTCCCTTGCATTCACTTCGATATTGAGTCCACTGGGGTCAACTACTTGTACACGCCCGAGTTCAACTTGAGCATATCAGGAACCGGATGTCATACGAGGATAGTCGAAACAAAGCGCCAAATCGGCATGGGCATTGTGGCCAGTCTGTTCCTCTACATGTTTTTGGAGGTAGAAGGGAGGCAGTGTTGCCTCAGCTGACGAAAAATCTCTTTTTTCAGTGCCTGTTGCTGGTTCCTGCTAGATTTCTGCAAACCGGCCATTCGGTGGACTTCAAGTTCGAGGGCAACAGCAAGAGTTACATTGTGTGGCTGATTGGCTCGTATGCGGGCAAAAACCAGAGCAATGGCCCTCCAGAACCTCCGCCAGTGCCGCCTGATTTAATGAATTAGGAGCATTTTATTTTTCTTTTCTGCTTGTTGATTTTGTACTCAATACACAGGCATTTGCTTCGAACGTTTCGCTAATRCGTATGGCTACCATCTTCAAAGGCATGTGCGCAGCCAAAGCCCAGCTTCCGTCCGATGCGCTGTTGCCATYTACGAAGGAAASTCTCTAGGATAAAGTTTGGAGGTTTCGAATTATTTTYCCCATCTTCGCGCCTTCAGWTTTTYGAAGYTTTCTCTTCTTGTCCACCYGAAARCGCTTTCATCCAACATTTATGGAGAAACATCAGTTGCTTARAGGCTGAAAGTTTCGATTCTCTGCCATCATCAGACACTTGGAGATATATTTTCAACTTCCTTACTTTTGTGACTGTCTTTAATGAGATTTTTGCTGCGTTTCGGCCAGAAACTCGTTTTTCAATTTCAAAACGAGCTGAGAGTAAAAAAGTTTTTGCGCTGTAACTTTTATGGAGGAAATATGGTTCATTATACTTTTGAGAGTTTCGGTTTTGTGCCATCATCAGATTTTTTTCCAGAACACTCGTTTATTTTTCAAGCAATTTTTTGATTAGAAACTCATTCTTTGACATTSAGAAAAACTATAAATCTTTACATTTCTACTTTTATTGAACGAAATCGTTTTYTAGGCGCCTTGAAGTTTCGGAGTTTTGCCTTTATCAAACACTTTGCAAAGCATTTTCAACATTGTCCAATTTTTAGTTCGATTTTTGCTGTCTTTCGYTCAAAAATTCGTTTTTTGTACTATTAAATGCTAAAAATCATCGCAAAAATGCGTTTTATGAAGGRAATATGGTTCTTTAAACTTCTATCTAGCGAAAATTTTTTCCCAAAAATTCGTTAGTTTTTTAAACAATTTTGTGATTTCGATCAAGTAAAAACAGTAAAATAAAGTTTCTATAAGTACTTTTGGGTTTTTCCTTCTGAGAAAACCGACAGAACATTCAGTTCAGAAATTGACTAAAGTGCAATCGAGTGTCTCAAGAGAGGACRGGCTGAAAGTTTCGATTTTCTGCCATCATCAGAGACTGGGCTCTATATTTTCAACSTCTTTACTTTTGTGACTATCTTTAATGAGRTWTTTGCTGCGTTTCRGTCAGAAACTCGTTTTTCAATTTCAAAACGARRTACWAATTTTTGCGCTSTAACTTTTATGGAGGAAATATGGTTCATTAARCTCTTGGCAGTTTCGGTTTTGTGCCATCATCAGATTTTTTTCAGAGCACTCGTTCATTTTTCAAGMAATTTTTTTWATTAGAAAMTCGTTTTTTGACATKGAGAAAAAGTATAAATTTTTACATTTTTACTTTTTATTGAACGAAGTCGTTTCTTTGGCGCCTTGAAGTTTCGGAGTTTTGCAATCAAACAYTTTGCAAAGCRTTTTCAACATTGTCCAATTTTCAGTTAGATTTTTTCAGTTTCCCRTTCAAAAATTCGTTTTTCGCAAYATTAAAAGCTAAAAATYTTTACAAAATTGCATTTTATGAAGGAAATATGCTTCTTTAAACTTCTACCAAGCGAAAACTTTTTTYCCAAATTTCGTCAGTTGTTTRAAAAATTTTGTGATTTCGATCAAGTAAAAACAGTAAAATGAAGTTTCTATAAGTATTTTTGGGTTTTTMCATCTGAGAAAACCGACAGAACATTGAGCTCAGAAATAGACTAAAGTGCAATCGAGTGGCTCATGAGAGGACTGAGGCTGAAACTTTCGGTTCTCTGCCATCATCAGACACTGGGCACTATATTTTCAGTTTTCTTACTTTTGTATCTATTTTTAATGAGATTTTTGCTGCGTTTCGGTCAAAAACTCGTTTTTCAATTTCAAAACGAGCTACACATTTTTGCGTTGTAACTTTTATGGACGAAATGTAGTTCATTAAACTCTTGCGAGTTTCGGTTTTGTGCCATCATCAGATTTTTTCCAGACCACTTGTTCATTTTTCAAGCAATTTTTTTTATAAGAAACTCGTTCTTTGACATTGAGAAAAACTATAAATTTATACATTTTTACTTTTTATTGAACAAAGTCGTTTCTTTGGCGCCTTGAAGTTTCGGAGTTTTGCCTTCATCACACACTTTGCAAAGCATTTTCAACATTGTCCAATTTTCAGTTAGATTTTTGCAGTTTCCCGTTCAAACATTCGTTTTTCGCAATATTAAAAGCCAAAAATCTTCGCAAAATTACATTTTATGAAGAAAATATGGTTCTTTAAACTTCTACCAAGCAAAAATTTTTTTCTCAAATTTCGTTAGTTTTTAAACAATTTTGTGATTTCGATCAAGTGAAAAACACCGAAATGCAGTTTCTATAAGTATTTTGGGGTTTTTCCATCTGAGGAAACAGACAGAACATTGAGCTCAGAAATAGACTAAAGTGCAATCGAGTGGCTCAAGAGAGGACGGAGGCTGAAAGTTTCGATTCTCTGTTATCATTTAATTAGATTTTTGCTGCATTTCGGTCATAAACTCGGTTTTCAATTTCAAAAGGAGCTACAAATGTTTGCGTTGCAACTTTTATGGACGAAATGTGGTTCATTATACTCTTGAGAGTTTCGGTTTTGTGCCATAATCAGAATTTTTCCAGAACGCTCGTTTATTTTTCAAGCAATTTTTTTAATTAGAAACTCGTTCTTTGACATTGAGAAAAACTACAAATTTCTACATTTTTACTTTTTATTGAACGAAGTCGTTTCTTTGGCGCCTTGAAGCTTCGGAGTTTTGCCTTTATCAAACATTTTGCAAAGCATTTTCAACATTTTTGTCCCATTTTCAGTTAGATTTTTGCAGTCTCCCGTTCAAAAATTMGTTTTTTTGTAWTATTAAATGCTAAAAATAATTGCAAAATCGCAATTTATGAAGGAAATATGCTTCTTTAAACTTCTACCAAGTGATGTTTTTTTCCAAATTTCGTTGATTTTTTAAACAATTTTGTGATTTCGGTTACCAGCCAGGTAAAAGACACTTAAATGTAGCTTCCAAAAGTGTTTTTTGTTTTTATCGGGCATTAAAATCAGCCGACTTAGAAGGCAAGAAACTTTAGCAAAATTCAGCTGAATGTTTCAAGAGAGGACAAATTTCTTTTGCGCCCATCTTTAACCACGATAGTCAAACCGGAAAAAATCAATCGATGCGATCAAAACCAAAGTCACTCAAGTTAGGTTTCTCATAGTGCTTTCGGTCTCCTGCTGCCTAAGAAACTGGCCGAGTTAGGAGGCAAAGAGTTGGACTAAAGCGCAATTGAGTGTCTCAAGAGAGGAGTTTTCCGATGGCTTCAACGGCGATACTCAGATTGAAAAAGCCTGAAGCACAAATTGAAAGAAACTCAAATAGATTCTAAAGTTGCTTTCAATCTAAGAAAGTGTCCGAGTTAGGGACAAGAGAAGTTTATTTAAGCGCAGCTGAGTGTCTCTAAAGAGGACACTTACCTCTTCCTGCGCAACTTCAACAGTGATGCTCAGATTGAAAAATCCTCACGAGCAAAGTGAACGCACTCAAAAGGCGTTTCCAAAAGTGTTTCGAGCAAAAATGGCCCAGTTAGGAAACACAGAAGTTAATAAGTGTATCAAGAAACAACTGTTTTGTTTCCGCTCAACACCTTCTTCTTCTTCTTCTATCAACCCCTTTGCTTTTGTCCGCCTGCCGGCAGAAATTGCTGAGTTATGGAGCAGTGAAGGCAAGTATTTCAAGACAGGACATTAATCTTTTGCGGGTACCATCATTAAATTCGTATAGACGACCATCTGAAGACCCTTATATCCATTGGTTGTCATATGCCCTAATAGCATGTGAGCTAAAGAATTGAAGAATAAAAAAGGTTCCGAAAGATGGAAGATTTACGGCTGTTTCATGAGAAGACAGGTTCCAATCGGACGGCCTGAAATCTGGACAATCGAACGGGCGTTGGTGCTGAGTGAGAACCTTCCGCAAAAGTGTGCACGTTAACAACAGTAGGAAATGATTAATGTGACCTAGTTTTTAGTGGAAATTAGCAGCACAATACCGTCCATTGATGATGGAAACAATGGGCTCAGTGTAAATAGTTGCGTAAATAAAGGAGTTTGATGAATAAATTGGCCTCATACATACCAATCGGTGTCGATGTGGAGCGTGTTTGTGGCACGGAAAAGTTTTCCGGAAAAGCGGGCCATTGTTCAAGGTGCACTCACACTCACACTCACACACGTGACAACGGAAACTCGGCTGCAACGACTGTTGGAAAATGCTTTTGTTTTGCGTGGGCTTTTCCATTCAGTCGTCATGGTGACGCCACAACACAGGTCGAACGCTTTCCATTGTTTTGTCCGCGGATTTCTGGACACCAAACAATTGAGCGTTTCACTTTCCGGAGAACGTTTTCCATTCTTTGGAGCATAATGGAAAGATTCATTTTCACTTGGTTTGGGGGGTTGAAACTGCATTTGTTGGATGCTCAATTTTCCGGGGTTTTCACCGGGGTTACGGTGGGTTTCCTCCAAGGGCGGATCCAGGGGGGGGTCATGGGGGGACCCCCCCATTCAATTCTCTATCCAACGATGCCAAAACGAATTATCTGGCTCAAATGGTTCTTGAGAAACTTCGAATAAAGGCCATTTAGTTTTCTCTGGAATGATGTAAAAACGAGCGTTCTTGCTCATTTTGCCTCCGAGAAATGAGCAAAAATGGGACGGAAAACATGAAATTTTGGCATAATCTTGCACCTAAGTGT